ATTGTTAAGAATATATTTATTTTATTGTCTTGAAAGCAATATTAAAAAGTTTTAATAATGATCGGCATATTATAAAATTATCCAATCAATTTCTTTATGGATCAACCAATCACGGATAAAGCCCACTATGTTACAGGGATCAACAAAAATTCCTGTACCCTGTACTTTTCAAGGTTCATTGAGCGAACCTCGAAAGGTATAAGGTACAGGTCACCTGTTCCATATCTGCGCCATACCTGTACCCTGTACCTTTTCAGATTTTTTGCATGTCACCTGTACCACTTACCTGTACCTTTCTAGGTTTAGTGAGTAAATCTTGAAAAGTACAGGGTATATACAGGGATCAACAAAAATTTCCTGTACCCTGTACTTTTCCGGTGTCCCTGCAAACAGGGTCCAATTTTTTCACCAACTGTAAATCCTTTATTAGAGATTATTGTTGAGTAAAAAGACAAAAAAAAAAAAATAGCTGGAAGCTCGATTTTCCTAGTACAGACCCCATATATATATATTCTTTTGTAATTGGATCCATAAATATGAATTGTATCATTTTTAAGCTTCATATAATTTTTGAACAATAAGATATTTAATTACAACAATAATATTTTAAAAAATCTGAAACAAATATTAATAAAATAATTCACCTCATTAAGAAGTTCATCAGAAATATCTTGTGGATTATGTAATTTTTTTAATGCCACTGGCTTATCTTTAATAGTTTTTTTTTTTTTATAATTTATACTTTTATAACCATTTAACCAATTAGCTTCATATATAGTTGCAAAGCTACCTTCACATATCTTTTCAATATTTGTTAAATCATTATAAAGAATCCATTGAAGATAATATTTATTACCATATCTTGTTGTCTGACCAATTACGATTTTTGTGTTTTATCATTCAAAATGGAAAATTTTTATGCAGAAGAGGATCAATACCATCAATATGATGATGACGATAATAGTAGTGTGTTGTTGATGATAATTTTACATGAGAATGAATAAACACTTTCAGTACAAGGTCCAATAGTTCATTGGCTTCAAGTTCCAATGATTTAAGTGGTGGTTCCAGAAGACCTTTAAAAAAACGAATTGTAACACACAGTTTTATGTGGAAGCATTTTGAAAAAGTGAAAGATTCAAATGGAAATGAATTTGTAATTTGCAAATTAAAAAAAAAAAAAACGAATTATTATTATAAAAAAAAAATTTAGTCGACTAAAGAAAATTTTGACCAACTAGTAGTCGACTAAGGATTTTTTGGACGATTCTAATCTCTAGCTTTCTAACCTTATTTATTAAGTGTCTTTAATTGTTTGTCTACGCGAAACATTTTTTCTTGTTATATATAAATATTAATTTATTATTATAATTAGCTGTTAATAATAAGGATGTTAGCCGAAATGGTTTTTGAAAAAATCAATTTCGGCAAGCAATTTCGGTTTTACAATAAAATATTCTTTATATCAATTGACATAAAAAAATTACTCAGGATTTTGGCTATTGAGTTAAAGTGTTCAAATAATCTCAGATATAATTTCGACAACTAATAAAGTTGATTTTGGTAATTATTTCGGCATTTCGGATTCGGCAATCATTTATTAAGGGAGGCAATTTCGGCTAACATGCTTAGTTAATAATTTATTCTCTTTGAATAATAAGCTTAGGAGAAACCCAAACTTCCCAATCTTCTTCTTTATCAATGTCACCCAACAATCTTAAAGCACGAATTCTCAAATGATAAGCACCGTTTGGTAAAATTTCTGGATCTTCATCACTATTAGTAGCATTATTTTTTGAGCCAGCCCAAAGTAATATTAAAAATTTATGTGAACCAGTTTTTGTAAGATACTCATTATATCCGGCTAAAAGCCCACCGACACCTTTACCAGGTACAAAACCTAACAATTTTTGATTTTCATCTAGTACCTGTACAAGTAATAATTTTGTTGGTGTTGATAATGATATTAATATAATTGGAGCATCTGTTTTATTTTTCATTCCATAAGTGGCTGTTTCATTGGGAAAATATAATGATTTAGAGTCGTAGTAAAGTTGTGGATAATCTGGTTTTGCAAATATTGGTAACGTTTTTGCGGCACCTTTTAATCCAACTAAATAAATCATGTAAATTAAAAAATAAGATATCATTGTAATATATATATATATATATATACGCATATGTACGAACATACCATATGGAACAGAAATAATTGGATCATCGCTATCTACAGGAACAAATTTTATAAATCCACTATAAAACCAATGTTCAGATGACGGTAAATCTTTTGGTGGTGTTATTTTTAATGTTATTTTTTCTTTTCCAAAAGGTTCAATTTTAATAAACACCCGTTTAAAATTTACAACTGCATATTCTCTACGATATTTCAATTCCTGTAGTAATAACTGTTTCTCTCCATCATAACCATTTACTGAAACAGCTGGCATATGAACTAAACGATATTCCAAATGTTTATCACAATAGTTTTCAATGCTAAGGTCATAATAACCATCTTTTTTACCATTGACTGTATCATTTAAAGCAAGTTTGAATGGATGAACAAACGCCATAGCTCTAATTGAATTATAAACATTTACTAATCCAGCACCTTGTCTTAAAACTGGTGGGACTATTTTGAATATTTGATCGTGAACTGGTATCGCATAATTCATTAAAGCCTTTTGAATAAAACGGTGAGAATTTTTTTCTATTTTATTGGCCTGTCTTATTAAAGCTGCTACACCAGATATATATGGTGTTGCCTAAATAACAATATATATGAATGTGTGTGTGTGTGTGTATATATATATTTTTTAAATAATATTTGAATAATTACCATACTCGTTCCCATTAAATTTGCATAACTACCAAGATTTATTGGAAATGTTGAAAAAATAATTCCACCTGGAGCTGCTATTTCCTATTAAAGTAGATTAGATAATTAATGCATTTATAATAATAATGATGATTATAAAATTTTTCTTTGATCAGTATGTAAAATATACTTACTGGCTATTAAAAGCAGCCATTTACATGAAATTAAAGATTAGTTAATTGTATTAATTTTAATATTGATTGATTAAAGAAAGAAATAATGATTAATACCTTGATGTCTAGATAAGGTGTTAATCCCCAAGATGAAAAATAGGATACAGTTCCACCAACATGACTTTGAATCATATAACCACGTTTATCAGAAAAATCAAATTCTAAACCACCCGGATTTTTTTTCAATCTTTCTACTAATTTATTTGCTTGTCGTGATAATATCGTAGCCATTGGTAATTTTAAACTTTTGATGTCGAAATTTGCTAAAATTGGATCAAATAAATCAACTTTTGATATTATCAATGCTAATAATTTATCAACAAATTCTGGCGGAAGCTAACATTGTAATGGAAATGGAGAATAAGTTTTATTATTACATGAATAAACTCAATAAAATGAAAGCATTTAAATTAAGTTAAACACGTACAGGAGGGCAATCTTTCTTCGATGTGCTATTGGAAGATAAATCAAGATATAGTATTTTATTATGATATACTGACAAATCTTCAGGACATGAATGTTTCGGAAACATGACAACCTCTCCTTTATCAAATGGTAAAGCCCTTGCTGTTACTGTTAAATATTCTAGAGAACAATCATTGTCATTTATATCATGTGCTTTAAAACCCAAAAAATGACTATTTTCAACAGAAGCGACCGATAATGATTTATATCCAAATGCTGAAGATATTGTTTTCCAAAGACCATCAAGGCCACTATTACCGTCGGCTACAGCCACTACAACGCCTGATTCTATCATTTTTCCTATTGAGTCTGATAATGGTGTTGATGCCCAGAAATTTCCTCCCTTAATATTAATTTTTTAAATAATAATAATAAATAAACAAACAAACAAACAAATTTAAAAATAAACAACACACACACATATATATACACAAGTAAGCAAAATAAATAATCACCAAAGACAAATTTACAATATCCATATTATCTCGTGAAGCTTGCTCCAATGCTTTTATAAGTGCATCATCTGAACCTTGACCAGAACAATCCATTGCTCTATATGCTCCAAATGTTACATCAGGAGCAACACCTACAAGTCCACTTGCATCATCCAAGGCACCGATAATACCTGCGACGTGAGTACCATGGCCATTACAATTATCAAGTGGGTCATCATCATCATCAACAAAATCAAATCCTACTTCCACTCTACATCCTGGACCAAAACATCCTCCAAATGCTGGATGTCTATAATCAATTCCTACAAAGATCAATTCATTCATATCATCTATTTGTTTTATGTATAAAAGCAAATAAAACAAAAAATGTGCAAATAATTTACCAGTATCAATAACACCAACTCTTACTCCTCTTCCAGTAACATCGAGATGTTTATGAACCCAATCAACACCTGTCATATGATGAGGCGTATTAAGATCTATTTTTGATGATAATATTAAAGGTGCATGTGAAATCCAATCACGTTTGTTTAAACCATTATTTTGATTGATTGATTTATTTATGAATTTTGGGCCTTGATGTATCATCTAAAAAGTACATATATTATATTATATTATTCAATTGCTTAGTAATTCTAAAAAAATAAATGATGATACATACTATGGGTTCAACAGAATCAACATTAGGTAAATCTTTAATAATTTCAAGATGATTTAAATGTTCAACTTCAAAACTTATTGCATTTATCAAATCAACAAATTCATGACGAACTTTTATGGAAATATTACGAATTTTTAATTCTTCATAAAATTCATTATGTTGTAATTTATAAATTTCTTTTAAATTAATAGTATTAATGGTAGCTGTGTCATTTTTAAAAGAAATTGTTGTTGATGTGATTGACGATATTGACACTGAGGATGATGTTGATGATTTGTAAGTTGTAAATCTAACATAAAATGCATTATTGATCACTTTAATATCAGAATTATATTTTTTTATTATACCAGCATTTACATAATAAATTAACAACGATGAAATTAAAAACAATAATATCTTTAGAAAATTTTTATTATTCATTATTGGGAGATAAAATTTTTATTTTTTACCAATTAAAGAGAAAAAATTGTATTTATAGCAGACTTTTATCCTCCACAGCCTCAAAGTGATTTATTATTATTATTATATATTATTAGATCGAACTGCACATAGGGCTTATATTCACGGATACCGTTAAGGTGGTTACACTTTGATTTTAATTATGGTTTCTATTCGAATAATAATGATAATGATAATAATAATATGCTATTGATAATAATAAGGTTTATTCGAATTATTCGTCATTATTATTATCATGAATTCGAGTATTTGAATTACATTGAAAGTTTATTCGAATAAAATAAATGGGTTCGAATAAGAATTTGTATTACGAATAGAAATCCTAATTTTAGTAGAATACAAACCCCAACTACACATTATTAATACTACTTAACAGTTTAGGTGAGTTTAAGATCAAACTTTGTTGGATGTTGAAAATAAACAAATCTTGTTTTATCAATCTGGAGGACACAAAGTCATGATAAACCTTTCTTCCACCATCCTAACCTTCTTTTATTCTTTCTTGTTTTGAAGACACTAATGTGCGTTTTGGGAAAGATTACTAAATGGATAAGCCTCTTTTTTTTTCCTTATAAATAATAAATAGTCCCTTGACTGCGCCATCCCTGATCTGTAGATAATTTCCAAACTTGGATAGCATAACGTGATAAAAACATGGGCACGTAAGACCAACAGTGGAAGGGAACATAACCATCTTAACGAACCAAGACCAGAATAAAGCTATGTGTTTGGATTGACGTTTAATGCTGGGTTTATTTGTGACTTGTCTGCAAAGGTTGTTTCGATAATAACGATAATAACAAGAGTGTTTTCATTAATCATAGATCCCGATTTTTGAAGAAGACAAATATTAATGCAATGCTATATATACCATAAGAATTATTATTAATGGTTATACTTCTTTGATGGCTATGTAACGATAATTAGTCGTTTAACCATAGATCCGTAGAAAACACAATATTATATATATACACGCACTATAGGAGTTATTATTAATAATCCTATTACCATTAATAATATATATCAACTAGAATATTTTTGATAGTCGCGTAACAATAGTCATCATTCAACCATAAAGGAAAAAACAAACATACGAATACACATAATATTATTACCCATTACCCCATTAGTAATATCAACTAAAATCTTCTTGATTATTACTATTAATATAAAAATCCGTTGTGGCAATTAATCAATTTTAAATAAAATTTTCTCATGTGTCCCGTTCATCCACTGTTTTTCAAAAATAGTTTTGTCCATCATCAATAATACTATTCTATTGTCCGCTCCTATATAATTATTACCCTAAAACTATAAAAGTGTGTGTGCTATTGTATATGCAATTCGCCTCTTAAGGCTTCTGGCGCAACGGATTTATGATGTTACGTATTTATATTTAGTCCAGTTGATCAAAGTGATATGAATATTATTTTTTCCGAAAGTATTTCTACCATTTATTTTGTATATAATTGAAACCCTTTTGTCTACCTTTTCACTGTCTGTTAAGTAAGTCATCAATTGAAGGTAAAATCATTATCATATTTTCATGCCTTAAGTTGCGTATTCTTGATTAATTTTTATCTATTTTTTGATTTTCATTGAAAAATTACTGTCACACCTAGATAAATAATTTTTGTCCCTTTTAATACCTTTAATATTAGAAATTGTATAATTAATGTCGAATTTAGTAAAATATTTTATTTTTTATTTAAATTTTTTCAATTTAATTTTGATCTTATAAATATCTAATCAAATCAATTAACTTATTTATAGCAAGAAGTTAAGATTGTGTATTTTGCAACAGCTCGAGATGCGACAAATTTATCATCAGAAACAATTTCTTTGAATAGTAATAACGATAAAAATAATATAACAACACTTCAAGAAATCATAAATATATTAAAAAGTCGACATAAAAACCTTACACCAATACTTGAGAATTGTATGTTTGCAATCAATATGGAATATGTTGATAATGTTGATAAGAGCATGATAAAATCTGGTGATGAAGTTGCAATAATTCCACCTGTTTCTGGTGGATAATTAATTCTCACATTATCTACTAGCAAATATATAAAAAATTTAAAATGAATGATAAAGATTTATTTGAATAATTTCATTCGGGAATTGTAGAAAATTGATTTATGTGATGAGTGTATGATTGAAAATTTGTGTGAAAATGGTAAATTAATTACTGATTAAATTAAATTATTGATATTTTTATTTTTATAATCTATAAGAAATTTTAATTTATAAAAATGTCATGTAGAAATAAATAAAATTATTTTAAAAATGTCAATAAAATTAATTGTCCAAAAAAAATTTATTGACATTACAATATTAAACATCAGTTTGCATTTCATCCTCCTCATCATCTGATTTGTCTTCTCTAAAACGTGGATTCTTTTCACGACCTTGATCTTCACGCCCTTGATCATCACTATCTCTTTCATGTTTCTTTGATGTAGTTCCTAGGTATTCATCATAACAATAAAAGATGTTGATCAACAAATAATTTTCAAATCTTAATTATTAATATTCAATGTGAACGTATGATTACCTTTTCCTTTGTATTCACCAGCACCCATAGGAATAGAAGTAATGGCTTCGTATTCTTCTTTTTGTCTTCTTGCACGTTCTGCTTCATTTTTTGCACGAAGATGCCCCCATCCACCACGTCCTGTATCATAATCTTGCCTATATTCATCTCTGACCTTTATTTATTTATAAAATATAGATTGAATTATTTATAACATAAATAAATAAATAAATTTTATAATATATATATATATATTATATATACCTGACCACCAGATCTACCTCTTCCAAATTGTCTCCCATCTTTATACCCAGGATCTAAATCTGTTCTAATAATTCTTTCATCTAATTTGGTGCTATTAATATATTTCATACAATCTAATGCGTCTTGATGTGAATAATACCTTTACAAAATAATTACAAAAAAAAATTTTCAAAGGTTAATTAATATCAAGTACTCTTTTTTTTTTTCTTAAAAATAAAAACTCCAACTTACTCAACAAAACAAAATCCACAAGGTGTTCTTTGAAACTTATCCAATCCCATAATTATCCTCTTGATTTCTCCTGCTTTTGAAAATAGTTCATAGATCTGTTCTTCTGTTGTATAAAATGATAAATTTCCAATATACAAAGTTGTACTGTTGGATAGATCTTTGCTAAGTTCTACAGTAGATCCCTAATTTAAAAATAAAAATTTTCTGATTATTAGAGAGATTTAATTGAAAATTTCACTAAAGAAAAGAAAACTTTGAAGTACTTGATACTGATGATCTTTGTATGATGAAGGAACACAAAGAGGAAGAACAATGTTAGCCATTATATATTCCTTATATATATGAATAAGTGTTTATGTTAAAATATATTAATATTAAGCACAATTATAGTTCAACTTCATTTACTGTTAATTATTATAAATAGTCATGTGCAAAAATTTTTATAGATAAAATAAACAATGAAGTTAGCGACAACTTAAATTGACCCATTTATGATTCGCCTATTATTGAGTAAATCCCGTTACACTAAATCAGGAAGATCCAAATCCTAATTGTGGCATCGTTGCTGCTGCCACCAGCTAAACATATCCTGCCGCAATTTAAAATAGCAGCAGAGAAGTCAAATCCAAGTAAGTCACAATTATAAACGATCAGGTCTCTCTCCATAAGTTTTCGTATGCAAAAAAATGTCTCTTGTGTTACAGGCAGCATTAACATCTCGATTCCAATGTGTCAGACAGACTGATTTGCAGACTCTGACAGTCCAGAATTTTTGATGCTTATCAAACCACATCCATCACACAAAGAACATATGGAACTCGTCAACGGTCACCACATTGCAGTGTCTAGAAAACTCTTGACAAAATTCTTTTACAGGACCTGGAGAATGTCTGCGTGATGTTGATGTTGATGAAATTTACCATTGCCAAATGTAAAGTGTCCGGGTCCCATAAAAATTTCTAAAAAAAAATCATATATGCTATTTGCTTCCTTATTATTATGCGTACATTTATAATATTTCTTCCCTATGATATATATACACCGTGCGCACTATGCGCAAAAAAAAAAAAATCAGAGCTACTATGAATGGCATATCTCTAGGTGAAAGGTATGTAAGTAATATTATTCAATGATATTTTTGTTTAATAGAAAATTAAATTAACAAAGTATAGTTCACCTCGAATAACAGCCTGAAGATTTTTTTTTTCAAACAACTCATTTTTTTGCAACCCTGCTAAGTTCCAGTACTCCTTGTTGTAACTTTTTCATCTGAACTCATTGCTACAAACAGATATATCCTTCCAGGATCCAGCCTAAATAATTTGCATTCATTCAAATCAATATTCGATCCGTATTTGTTAGCATCTCCTTTATTATCATCAACTTTTTTCTGCAGACCATCAGTTTATATGGAATAAGCAAAGATTCGATTCTGGGTGGTGATTTTATTAATATTAAATGCTTTCGTCTGTCTACCAAGCTTCCCTTCCAGCTCTGAATCTTTGAATGGTTGTTATCAATTGATTTGTACATGTAAAATAAAGCAACTAATATGTACTTTTGTTGGAAAGAGTATTCAGACAGAAGTGTGGAGAGATGAGGGCCATGTTTCCGGTTATGCTTGATAAAGGTGGAGAGGATTTTGTGAAGACCCAGAATTCATGATCACAAAAATGCTTTTATAGATGCATCATCAAAGCTTGATTTTGGAACAATGTCTATTGTGCTTTTGAGTGAATATATTGAATGCGGATGGTAAGGTGAAGAAGGCATTATGGATGTGATGTAGAGAGTTTTATCAATAATTTTTAAAGGGAGGGAAGGGGTCTTGATTTTTCAAGTTGGTAATGAAATGGTTTATGATCGAGTCAATGTATTTTTTGGGTAAAGGAAATTGATGAGTCCTAAATAATTTATAATTTATCCA